GTCAACTCAGTGGTTCTGACCAAACTGAACTTTATATTACATACCAGCTCATCAGGCAGGTTTCTTCCCCTGAAAGCTGATATGTACAGAAAAAGTCACCCTGGGGGCCTGGTATGAATGTTGATCTTGAGGAGACAAACTCATGAGATGATCTGTACATACAGTAACTGAGGGTCAGTACTGTGAGAGTCAATTTTGAAAAATGGACATTTTATATGCCCCATGCACAACAATTGAAACAAAGGGGAGAAATCTGGTATTGAAATTCTTCACTTTTAGGCCATAAACTGACTTTTGGTGATGGTTGGATTGAATGATATGAAGATTTGAGGAATATAAATTCTTAAAAATCAAATTTTCATGCCATATGGTACTGGCCCTGAGTCTCACTCATGTTTTTTTGACACAGACCTCCAGTAATATTGCTAGACAATTGGGTCACTGTACACAGTAACTCAAGAGAGGAATATCTCCTCAAGCTGACTGACCGGGGGTGATAGGTTACAAAATTGCCATCTTCAAAATTAAATTTGTAACAGCCTCTACCATGGGCCTCTCAGTACAGATAACCTGGTACATGAGTCCAGGGACTCTGTGGATTAGGAAAAAAATAATGGTCCAGTTTGTGAATCTGTTGGGTGGGAATGTGAAGAATTAACTGTCTGATTTCTAGAAAACTTGGGACCAGAATAAAAATACAAAACAAGATTAGAAAGATTGCAGAAAATTTGAAAAAGAAGATTGAGCATTATAAGGCTGAAAACAAGCTCACCCAAATTTAATAGAAATAAAGAACAAAAGGAAGATAGGGAAAAAAGAATAAAGGAATGGAAGAAAGATAACACAATAAAGAAAATTAGTTGATTGAATAAAAGAGACAAAGTCCTGATTGATGGGATGGGGAAATAGATTTAGATGAATATGGATGGAGTAGGTGAAAAGGTTTTGGATGAGTAGAGTGAGAAGAGAAAAATGGGAAAGTGAGGGGCAAGATCAAGGGAGTTGAGTGTCATGTTGATTGAGTGAGATGAGTCTGGAGGTAGATAGATTAAGTTTGGTTGAAAGTTGTGCTGATTTGAGTTTGTGCTTAAATTAATTAATCCTCAGAGTTAAAAAAATGAGTGCCACAAGGCATGCAAGCCTAATTTCAATGGTATGTTGAACTGGCCCTTAATTAACAAAAAAGGACAATATGAAGACATCAAGAAATATTATGGAAAACCTGTTCAAGGAGATCATGAAACCAAGGTGAATACTGTCAGCCTGACGTGCTTTGAGGACAGATGATAATTTGGGGCTACCTTAAACTGCCACAAGGCTACAATATTGTGTCAGAGAATTCCTTTTGGGGGAAAGTGTCAACCTCAATCCTCTGAAGGAGGGCAAAAAAATCTGGGCCACCATAACTGGAAATACAGCTCACTTGCTC